TTCCTTCCTTCCTTCCTTCCTTCCTTCCTTCCTTCCTTCCTTCCTTCCTTCCTTCCTTCCTCCCTCCCTCCCTCCCTTCTTCCCTTCCTTCCTCCCTTCCTTCTTTCCTTTGCTCTTTTAACCACTTCAAAAGAAAATGTGAAACATTATGTTGTTCCAACCCACAGAATTAAACCCTTACCTTTTTAACCAAATGTATTTTTCTTTAAGACCTCTTGCCTCACTGCCAAGCCCGATTCCACTGGTACAGTCCATACTATAGTGCTTACTCAATCTCTTCTTATTGCATGGCTCAGGTGAAGTTCAACGTTACAAATTGTTGCTGTTACTTGGAGCCTGTTTGATGTTGGAGAAATAGAACTGCTTTTATGGCTCTGTATTCTTTTCCGTGCTGTGTATTGTGAAGCAGCTAAGCCACTTGACCAAAAGAAGGTTTTTAGGAAGATAAACTGTCTCAGTTTTCTCGTGCTTATCCTTTGCAAGACACATAAGGTCCAGAGGTGGTACCCTATGACTCAAACCCATCCCTTTTAAAGACAGCTTCTAAATGTTCCTAAATGGCCAGGTTTCATATCAAACTCTTGACCGAGCTCCGTCTGCTGATGTGACTCTCTGCCATCCGTTTTTGGTGGTTATAGCCTTGTCTTCTTGTCACCTTCTTCTTCAAGAGCATGTCATGTGGCAGCTCCCGACACTAAAGGTCATGCCAGGTTCCCTGCTTCCAACAGAGGTGGTAAAATCATTTTCAGACTCCACATTTTGTACAGAGCTACTCTAGTTTTAAAGTAAAGAATAGCATTGCGCATGTACTCGTGTGAAAACGTAGTCCCACTAAGAAGACATTTGCTTATTCAGTTTTCAGAGGAAGGCTTTGGGGCCTGAATGTGTTGGGTGTGTGCTCAGAATGATAATGTGCCTGATGGGAGCAGCTCAGGAAGAAAGGCTTTGTTTTGGATCATGGTGTGAAGGTATGGCCCATCGTGTGTGTGGTGGGGAGCAGGACAGGGAGTGAGGCACCTGCTCACATTCCCTCCACAGTCAGGAAATAGAGGGGTGGATACTGGTGCTTCCTTTGCTCTCTCTGTTTCCTGCAGTCCAGGACCCCATCATGTGCAACACATTTACAGTGGGTCTTCCTACCTCAACTAACCAAGTTAAAAATTCTCTCTATACGTGCCTACAGATTTTTTCCTCAGTGGTGACCCTGTATGCCATCCAGGTGGTGACAAAGATCAGCATCCTAAGTCCTGTTATTTGCAATACAAAGGATTATGTGGAAAGACACTGTCTCTCTCAGCTCATTCATTTAAATATTTTGATTTATGCAATAAATATTTACATGGATTTTATTTGCTTCCTTTCTGTTCTGGGGGTCGAGCATATGGCTTTGAACATGTCAGGCAATGATTCTACGGCAGAGACTAGGGTTTTCATCATTTATAGTGCGTCTTTTTGGTCAATATCACTTCACAAGTGACAGGATCCCATTGACATGAGCCACGAGCCTCTGAGCCCATCTTCTCTTTCTGTCAGGAGTGTTCTTCTGGACAGGTCATGTTTCCTTCTCTCCGTCAATACTCTCTGCACTAAAGAGCTCCTTCGCAGACTCATGGGGCCTGGACACAGTGTTGGGGAAAAGTCAGGAACTTATTTTCATGACTCTAGTTCAAATTTTCTTTTTTAAACATAAACTCATCTGCTTGGCATGTTTTCTTTTTGTTTTTATAATGATCAGTACATATGAACTACACAGGCCAGTATCCTCTGTGAGAATCCATCCATGCCTACACTGTGAATGAATTGGCCATCCGCCTGCCCCTCTTTCCTTTCTTCCCATTCTCCCTGTGTAGCACGGCCTCCAGGATTCTTTCCGGTCACCAGTAATCCCTCTGACCTTTATTCCCTAATTTATAGTTTTCTGGTTGGGTTACATACTGTCGTCTTTTCTAATATCAAAATCACAACTTTAATTTTTCATTTTCATTTTACTAATAAGTCTTTGCTAATTATTCTACTTTTAATTTTGCTGAATCGTTTTGTTTTCAGTCTCTTATATTTAGCAAACAGTTAAGTATAAATTTGTTGAGCAGTCTAAACACTCTGTTATCTTTCTAATAAAGTCAATTACATTCATATTTATTAATAAGATATTAGAAATTCTAATTTGCACTATCTGGCTATGTGCATGCACACACACTAAACCTCTACATTGTCACGTTAGAAGGTTCCTCTCATATTTTTCTTTAATTTTAGGATGGTGTATACTTCAGTTCTTGTGGTCCTTATGATTTTAATATTTTCTTTATGTCATATCCACAGTGTTGTCTCTTTTTAGAGAACATCTTGGGCACCTACGGTGAATAAAATGGAGACAGCTGCAGTTTCCACTTTATTCTCCCTCCTTTCCCTCTGCCATTGTCTAATTTTCATGACAGACACTATATCAATGGCACCTTTGCCTTAAACTTAAACACTAGTTCTTCTGCCCTATAATCTGATGCCAAGGAGGCCTTCAGGCAGCATGTCCAGCATCACTCCCTTTCCTTTTTTTCTATTGGTTCTGTCCATGTCACCAGAGTCCATGTTACAAACGATTTTGCCTCCTTTACTGTCTTTATTTATCCCTATCCAAAGTTCTCTCTGCAGACGTCTCATCTCATCCTGTCCACTCACGCCTGGCTATGAAGCTTGACCTCTGGTGCTTGCCTCAGTGGACGTCCTCTGGGCCAACATTTCCTCACTGTTCAAGGGGACATGTTTGGGGAAGGTGGTGATATTTTGTTTGTGCTTTAACAAATAAAGCTTGCCTGAAGATCAGAGTGCAGAACCGGCCACACTAGTTAGCCACAGAAGCCAGCAGCGGTGGCACACATCTTTAATCACAGCACTCGAGAGACAGAGTCAGATGGACCTTTGTGAGTTCAAGACCACACTGGGCTGCACCTGACGGAATCAGTCTAAAAGAGAAACAGAGCCAAGTGGTGGTGGATCACTCCTTTAATCCCAACACTAGGGAGATGGAGACAGGAAGTGATATGGCTGGGCAGATAGAGGAATATAAGGAAGGAGGAGATATGAGCTTAGGATTCAGTCTGAGGTTTCATAAAGATGGCCTTCAGTCTGAGGACTTGTAGAAACAGGATACACCATTCAGTCTGAGGATTTCATAGAGGTAAGAACAAGTGGCTGGCTGCTCTGCTTCTCTGATCTTTCGGCTTTTATCCCTTAATATTTGACTCTGGGTTTTTAGTATTAAGACCAATTAGAATTCACACAACAGGGGGACATTAAGGAACATCCTTTTACTAACATACACTCCTGAAAGTTTTAGACTATACACTTACCAGTCTCAAAAGTGACACAGGTTTCACACGGTTACACTGAGGTGGTTGCCATCAAGAAGCCCCAGCATTGATGACGTAGCAATGCTACTTTACAGAGGAAACGTGAGCTCTGCCATGGTGACTTCACTTGTTTATCACAACCTAACCTGCATTTCCGAACAGCAGATTCCAGATTCTTGAGGATCAGTCTTTGTCTCTGCAGTCAGCTCTGTATCAAGAGTTACACTAACACACTTATAGATGGATGTGAGGGCTGGAGAAAGGTCACTGTGTTTATGAGAAAGTACTGGACCATGCTACACTTAGGAACCCCTCTAATTTGCCCTTGTTCTCTGTCCCCTTTTCTTTCCAGGCTTCCCTTTTCGTCTGCCCGATGGCCATGGGGCTGCTTTTCCCAACGTCCATATGCCTTCCTTAGTATGCTAATCTTCGTTTGACCATTTGTAATTTACATGATTTATCTAGAATATTATTATCACCTAACACAGTAATAGAAAGGCTATTATAGTGGTGAGCTGTTGGGAGCCACCTGGAGGCACAGGTGGTCCTGCAGTTTGGAGGTAGCCATGTGGGGCTGAGCACCCTTGCTTGCACATGCTCAGACCAGCAGAATGGCATTAACCAATCAGGACAGCGTTCAAGCCGCTCCACCGTTTAAAAGCAGCTGCCTCGGGGCCCAACGCTCTCTCTCTAAGCTTTCTCTCGTCCCTGCTCTATCTTCCCTTCCCCCAATTTTCCTCAAGGGAATGCTCCAAATAAAGATGTGACCAGAGAAGGAATTCTCGTTTTTGGTGGGGTTCATTCCTGCTGGACAGGATGGCCCCCCACAGTGAGCATGGTGGCACATGCCTAGAGTCCCTATACCTACATAGCAAAGGCAGGAGTAACAGGTGTTCAAGGTTATCCTTGGCTTCAAAATCAGTGTGAAGCCAGCCTTTGCTGAATGAGTTCCCATCTAAAAGCATAAAAGAAACAGAATAAGGGGAAAATAGTTTTGCTTTCTGTGCACCCTCTGATCCTATGTGCCTGACTGCACACCAGAGCTTCTAAAGTCACACTTGGTCCAGGGAAGTCACTGTGACTACTGAGGGATCCTTGCCAGGGAATGAAGGACTGACGCCCACCATTCTGCAGCTGTGCTTCCCACAGCTCGGGGTGGTGCTGGGCTGTATCCCACAACCTTACTCATTCTCTCACATGTGTTCATTTTTATGTATGTATCCATGAGTGCCTGTGTGGACATATGTGCAACATGCGCATCTCTGGTGCCCTTTGGGAGAATGTAGGATCCCGCACAACTGCATTTACACATAGTTGTGAGCTGCCATGTAGGTACTGGGAACAGAACCTGGGTCTTCTCTAAGAACAGCGAGCTCTCTTTACCACTGAGTAATCTCTATGGCTCCAACCTTGCTTAGTTTTATGGACTCTTTATCATGGAAAGCCATTAAATATCGGAATTTTTTATAATAGGCAATAAAAAATACAAGGAGGATTTTAATATAGATACTTCTATTTATTGAACATTTTAAGAAGGTAAACACCCTTCTGAGACTAAATAGCCTGCCTTTAGGATACCTCCGATATCATCTTCATTTCATTTCCTTACCTAAGTAGCTGGGGCTATGAGTCCTGCATGCACAAAGACGAAAGACATATTTGTTTTAGCACTTAATTTTAATGATAGGAATAAACAAGTTAGTACATTTATCATGATATAATAATTGCTTATAAGAAACTTATACAGTTGCATTGGGAAAATCAAGGAGTTCTGGTTCAGAAAAAAGGGTTGGAGAAGTCTTCTCAGAGTAAATCATGCTTGAATTGAGTCCTAGAGGCTGGAGTAGAGCATGGAAAAACAGTGTATTGGTGAGGGAGAGGTTTACAAAGAACACATGTGGTGAGGGCAACTTCACCGAGAACACTGGGATGCTAAATCTTGCTTGTTAATGCGACAGCACTTAGATTCATCTGGGAGACACATTCTGAGCATGCCCATTAGGGCGTTTCAAGAGATGTTTGATCAAGGAGGGGAAGGCTCATCCTGAATGTGGTTGGCTGGGTCCAACTCATGCTCCTGGACCTTAGAAAAAGGAAGCAAATCAACAAACAAAAAACAAGAGAAAGCTAGCTAAAAGCCAGCTGAATGTCAGCATTCGTTTCTTTGTTTCCTGCCTGCTGAGACAATGTGACCCGCTGCCCCATGCTCTTCTGTCATAGCTACAGTCTCTCTTCCTGCCCTGTGTTCCCCATCAGGATGGACTGCAGCCTCAGACTTCTTTCAGTTACCTTTTGTCAGGTACTTAGTTGCAACAAGAGAAAAGTAACCAATATTGATTTTATTTTTCATCAAATTGCAATAAATCTACCCAGTTGACTTGGACAACAATTTAAAAGTCATCTTCGGTGCTTCTCTTTACCATTTGCCATCCCGACTCAGAAGTTCTGTTGGCTTTTCTTCTGTATGTTTAAAGCATCAACACTCTGCTCCTTCAGCAGCTACCATCACATCACTCAACAGCGATTGCCATGGTTTCCTGTCAGACACTCTTCTGCTTCCTACAGTCCTTTCTGCATAGAATATGTGGTGTCCTTTCTCACAGGCATATTTGGGAGTATTACTTCAGACAATTCTATCGTTGCTAATGTTTAAAACTGAAGTTATTTTAGTATCAGAGTTTAATGGTTTCAGTGTGTGGGAATTCATTATGAGTAGAAAAAGCAGGAAACTAGTGTGCAGCTCATGGTAGGTGAGGAGCTCTGAGAACTTCGAGCACGGAAGAATCCTTTATGTTTGACTGATTCATTCTTCAGTAGCATCCTGTGAGATCATGCCATGTATGCAATCTCATATTGAAAGACCCTCACCCACTGGGTGCAGGCCCAAGTGGGAGAAGCCCCGTGACTCAATTAACCAGTCCAACAGATGCGAGAAGCAAGAGGGTTTATTAACAGTCACGTAACCGGGTGTCTCTAGTCTCCAAAGAGGCGGAGCAACCACGAACAGCAATTCCAGCAAGTTTTTATAGGCAAAACCCACAACATTAGCATAATGGGTATGAGGTACAGAATGATTGGATATAATATTTTACATTATATTAGCATATTGGGTCAGTTCTAAGCCATAGCTGTTTGTTCCTTCTATTTCCCAGAAATACCATAAGAACCCTAAACCCTGTCCTGGGAAGTCCCCAAACCCTATCATGGGCGCTGGGTGTTTCCTGGCAGGCTGGTGGTGCAGGGTACTGTGGTCAGGGTGCAAGTGGCAGTCAGGGCTGTTTTGCAAGTTTTGTACTTTTCCACTGCTAATTGTCATCCACCTAGGGGATATGCTTAAAGCAGTTGCAAGCAGGCTTTTTGAGTTGGGGTCTTACAATATCTTGACAATTTGTAGCTGAAATCATCAAACCCTCTGATAAGAGAGTACACTGAGACCAGATGAAATATAATTACAGCATGATCTAGGAAGGAGGAGAAAACATTATAAAGGGACTCATCTATTCTTCTCTAAGAGGATCCCGTGGCAGCACCACAAGGAACCTTTTAATGGCAACTTCGTCATAGAGCAACATATCGCTGTGGGAGAGTGAAGGAAGACTGCTACACTACTTGGTGGTCATTTGTCTACTGAGGACAACATTTTATTACTGAGAAGGGAGTCCTGACATCCAGGTAATCAGTCGCTTTTGCCTCATTGCTTCGGCTGACTCTTGAGCAGAGCCTTTATTGATCACTGTAAATATGGCGCCCTGTCACTCTCTGATTATCTTGTTTTATTGCCTTCATAACACATCACATCTGAATTTATCACACTCATCAATCCATGCTTATCCACAAAGTATACCATCCGTCTCAGCTTATGTTCTATTTAAGTCACTTCAATTATATTCACATGTGTATCATCTGATGGTTCCTTTAGATAAAGACCAGAAAATGGGAATATTAAATACCCACGGAATTACCCTGTCACCCGAGTCAAGAATAATACCTGATATTTAATAGCTACTTAATGCATTTTTGCTGGATGATATTTCCTCTGGGAAGTAAAAGATAAGGTTATCAATGGGAACAGGAATATATATATATATATATATATATATATATATATATATATATATATATATATAT